GAATAGCCTGGCTACCCACGTTCAAAACCTCTCCCACTTCAGATTGCAATTAACTTTCCATTGCCCATCAATTTCCAGCTCACAAATATAATATAAAACTCATACTTTAGTTAAAGCCTTTGCCCTTGTCCCCTTTGCCATGATGAAGCCTTGACTTCACAAAGATGCCAAAAGCTTCAGAAAATATCTCATTTACAAAGGTAATTCCTTGTTACCAAGAGTTATGGTAACAAGAAATTAAGATGACACAAAGGAGGTAAAAGCTGGCCAAAATCGGATTTCCAGAGTTGTGGTAACATGCTGGATTGGTTGGATAGGCAATACTTGTCCAATGGAGCTCAAATTTGGATATGTTGTAGTTAACATCCATTGGAACAAGTCTCATGAAGATCATGACCTCATCCGAGCACCAGAGCATGTTGATCCCAGGCCAAGAAGTTGACCTACGAAAATGAACAAAAACAGAATTTATGACTAATAATGCACTTTTAGCTCATTTTCATCCCAACCAAGGTAAAATCTAAGAAAACACAAAAAGGAAGTAAAAAGCTATAAAATGTTAAAACTAACTCAAAATAGTGGGTGAATTGGAATCGAACATAATTGACAACAGAAAGTTGGTTTTCGTAAACTGTGAATGCAATTGCATGTTGTGTGTGCAACTACCTAGTTTCTGTTGGCAAATTGAATGTTGTGAAATGCAATTACCTAGTGGTTCAACTTCACCATGACAAGCTATAAAAAGCTATAAAATGTCAAGAACTAACTCAAAATAGTGGGTGAATAACATGAAAAATCATGTGTAAAAATGAACCGAACACGAGAGAGAGAGAGAGACGAGGGGCTCTGCAACTTTTAAAAAAAAACAAATTTTATTAGATCTTCTCAGATTTAGGGTTCTTCCTTTGTGTTTGTATTGGGCTAGATGTTTGTTTTGGGTTTTCTTTTATGTGGTTTTTTTATTTCTGTTGAGCTGAGGCCTTGTATCTATCAGTGTTGGGCTGGTTTTTATTTTTCCTTTTCTGACTGTGTAATCCCTTTCTTTTTATGAAATGAATTACCTTGACCAAAAAAAAAAAAAACTGTGAAATTATTATTTTTTTAAATTTTTTTTTATTTAGATTCATGTGGCATTATCTCATTAGATATGTGAGCACCACATACACATCACATCATCAATTTAACAGAAATTTTCACGGAACTTAATGGCAGCACCAAATTGATGTGTGATCTGTAACATAAAGAACTAATAATGTTAGAAAAAAAAACATAAAGGATTAAATGTGATAATTTGGCAAACCTCAGGATCATTTGTGATAAAAACCCTTTTGTATATGGTTTGACAACCTTTCTTTTCAGTGTTTGTATAAAATCTAGGGAAAACATATCTGCATGTTGATTCTTTATGTCCACACAATTAACATGACTGATATTGATGTTAATATGTTATAGGTACGAAACCTTGCTCATCAAAGATATAATCGATGTGATATGGAAAAGATTACGTCCTACATCGTTTACTTCTGTGGAGAACTCAGTTGGATTAGACTCAAGTATGAACTCAATTGATTTATTGTTAGGTGCAGGGGTCGATGATGTTCGCTTTATAGGGATATGGGGTATGGGTGGGATTGGTAAAACAACTATTGCCAGAGTTGTTCGCGAGAGAATCTCTCCTGAATTTGAATTCAGCATATTTCTTGAGAATGTCAGTGATAATGTTAAAAAAGGTGGTCTAATATCCCAACAAAGAGAAATTCTTTCAAGGATATCGATGAAAACGATTGACATATATGATATTCATGAAGGATCCACAATGATTAGAAGATTACTTCGTCACAAAAAGGTTCTTCTCATTCTCGATGATGTGACAGACTCAGACCATTTAGATTATTTGGCTGGAAAGCAAGAGTGGTTTGGTTCTGGGAGTAGAGTTCTTATTACAACTAGAAATGAGCATTTGTTAATTGAACATGGAGTGAAGAGAAGATTTCAGGTCAAACGTCTAAATCATGATGACGCTCTTAAGCTTTTTAGTTGGAAAGCCTTTGGAAAAGACCACCCTGAAAAAAACTATATTGATTTGTCTAGCTGTGTTGTGAGTTATGCCGATGGTCTTCCACTAGCTCTTAAAGTTTTGGGGAGTTTTTTGCGTGGAAGACATGTAAGTGCTTGGAACAGTGCGTTGGGTAAACTAAGAGATCTTTGTAACACAGTTTTGGGGACACTTCAAATAAGTTACGATGATCTAGATGACAAGGAGAAGAAAATTTTCCTAGACATTGCATGTTTCTTTAACGGGGAGAAAGAAGATCGAGTTATAGAAATCCTAGACAGTTGCGGCTTTTGTGCAGGTATTGGAATAGATGTCCTCATTGAGAAATCTCTGTTAACTAATTCCTATGGCACTCTATGGATGCATCAGTTGCTCCAAGAGATGGGTCGTGAAATAGTCAATCGAGAGTGTCTTGATGAGCCAGGAAATCGCAGCAGGTTGTGGCGCCATGAAGAGGCCAATCATGTGTTGAGCAAAAATACAGTAAGGGGACTCTTAGTTTACGAATGAGTTCAGTTCTTTTCATATGTTAGTTTATATGAGCTTCATTATTCTTTATTCATGCATGTTTGATAGGGAACAGACGCAGTAGAAAGTATAACCATGGACAAAACTGGGCCAGTGGTGCACGCAGTCGCTATATGCTTTTCAAGGATGAAGAAACTGAGACTTCTCAATCTTGCTAATGTGAACCTCTCTAATGATCTTGAATATCTCTCCGATAATTTACGAAGTCTTGAATGGGCTGGGTATCCTTCAAAATATTTCCCGTCACATTTCAACCCAGAGAACCTACTAGAACTTATCATGTGCCATAGTCACATTGAATCTTTTTGGACGGGTGTTAAGGTATGTTATTGCTGCTTTATCTTCTATTACCTTTAAACATCGAAGCCTTTTTTTTTTTTTTTCCCCTTTTATATGTTCTTACTTGACAGCCTTTCATAGAATTTGAAGCTAATTTTTTTGCTGTGTTCTTTTGACAGATTTTATACAATTTGAAAGTCATTAAGCTCAGCCACTCTTTGAATCTTGTCAACACCCCAGACTTTAGAGGCTTTCCAAATCTTGAGAATCTGATTCTGGAAGGTTGTATACGATTGTATAAGGTTGACCCATCCCTTGGAATGCTTGAAAGAATTACTCAGATAAACTTGAAGGATTGCAAAAGTCTTGTGTATCTTCCACGAAGTGTGTATGGCTTAAAATCTGTCAAAGTACTTAATCTTTCTGGCTGCTCAAAGCTCGACAAGTTGCCCAATGAGTTGGGCAATGCAGAGTGCTTGGAGGAGCTTGATGTGAGTGGAACTGTCATAAGAGAACTGCCTTCCTCCATTGTTCGGTTGAAAAGCCTCACAGTACTTAACTTTCGTGGATGTAAAGGACCATCACCTAAATTTTGGAATTTGCTCGGCCTTGTTCAGCTAGTTCTCTCCCTTTTTCAGCGATTTCTAATAAGAAGTCGAGTTCCCACGCCTTTGTTGCTGCCTTCTCTATCCAGTTTGGTTTCCTTAAAACAACTAACTCTAAGTGATTGCAATCTCTTGGAAGTCCCTAATGACCTTAGCTGCTTGTCCACATTAATCTACCTAGATCTCAGTAGAAACCAGTTTGTTAGCCTACCCAACGTCATCTCTCTGCTTTCTAGACTTCAATTTCTTAACTTGGAGTATTGCGAGAGGCTTCAAGAATTGCCAGAGGTTCCACAAAGAGTAATACCAGTTGTTCAAAACTGTATTTCATTACAAAGATTTGCCAGAGGTTCCACAGAAAACTGCAAGTTGCTGTTCCAGATACAATGTATCAACTGCTTCAAATTTGCGGAGACGCACGATTTCAGGAGTTTGGTATTTACATTACTGGAACAATATGTTGGGGTCTCTCTCTCGCTCTCTATTTCGTACACACAATAATATGTTGGCTTCTTAAGTGTTTTGACGTTTTTTTATTTTTTTTTATTTATGATGCAGGAAGTCCCTATTACTCAAGAAGTATTTCAATTTGTTGTTCCTGGAAATGAAATTCCCGAGTGGTTCAATCATAAATCTGCTGAATATATATACAACGAGGAAGAGTGGTTCAATCCTCAAAGTGTGGAGTATCCATTAAGTGCAGAGCTACGCCCAGGTTGGTTTACTGAAAACTGGATGGGATTCGCAGTGTGCATTGCTTTTGCAATCCAGGAACGATCACCTAATTGCGACCATGCTTTGAAGTATCCCAATTATGATTATAATTATACACATATTATTACTTGCAAAGTGGACATCAATGGAAAGGAGGCGACGGCACGTAGGCGTCCATTTGTGATTTTCAATGCAGAGTTGGGCCAAGCTGTGTCTGATCACCTTTGGGTACTCTTTTTTCCTCGTCACTTTCCTCAGTTTTGGAAGGGTATCAGCGATCAGGTTAAATTGCCTTCTGGCACAGAGTGGTGGCAAGGTATATTTGGTCAGATTACATTTTCAATTACGGCCAGAGTTGGCCATGGAGTAATAGTGAAGCAGTGTGCGGCTCGTCTGGTGTACGAGGAAGACTTGGAAGAGCTTGCCCCAAGATTTAGCGGCCGGACCCGGAGCAATGTCAGCATTTCTGAGGTGGATTCAGAATTCCCCTCTTACACAAACAAGTAGGAGCTAATGGATGGAAGTGGTACTATTGATAACCTTTTTCATCTAAGGTCAATAAAATCTGTTCTATTAGGAATTCATTAATCAAATTACAAAATTACATTTTCATAACACATTCAGTTGCGTAATCTTGGCTGTTTTTTTTTCCTCTTTGTCTTAGTTTTTCTCTCATGGCTTGCTTTACTTCATTTGTATGTAGGGATAAAATTGTTGATTTTCAACAGACGAATGGAATGGAACCACAACAGCAATGAGAGCCACCACAACTGGGACAACAAGAGTAATGATCCTTCCTCCCAATGCAAGTGGCCTCACTACGTACTTTCTTAATACGTTGTTTAGAAGCACCGAGTATTATGGTAATGAAAAATTACAATAAAAGAATTTAAACATTATGTGACTATGATGCACCTCATGTATAAAAAGTAATAATAATTCTGTTTTCAATAATAGTGGTTACCCTGTCTCATTACTTCAACATTATATTAGACCTCTTAAATTGAAATATCTTCTTGCAAACGTGGGCTTAGCCAAGTTGACTAGAGTGGATGTGCTCCCCCACTTTGCACCTGAGTTCGAATCTCCCTTCCCGTAATTTAGATTATGTTAAAATAGAATAATAATATCGTTTGTATAAAAAAATATTGAAATATCTTCTTAAAACGCAACTTATTAATTTGGTCATTAGTGTTTGATCTATAGAAGAAACAACATATTATTGGCGTTGATACACTAATAAAATACTTTATAAATACGAGTGATAAACTAATAAAACTCTTCACTATAACAAAAGTTGGAAGAACTTACAAAGCAAAGCAGCTCAGTACTAATTAAAAAGAAAAAAATCAAAAGTAAAGTATGTTTTGAATGCCGTTTTTGGAACCACCGTACGCCCCAATGTTTGATAACTTTCTAGCACAAATATGCATCATGAACCAATAGTAGAATAAAACATTCTGGCTTAGTAGAATAAAACACTGATTCATATGATCTTTTGTTTAGTTAACATGCAACGAAGCATAATTGTCTTCTTTTTGGTGCCTCCTAGCTCCTCCTAGCTCAAGTCACACCATTTTTAATGGTGTGGTTTGAGAGCAAAGCATACTGATTATGGTGCTTTTTGCTAAAAGCCATTATGCATCGGCAACTATATACGCCTTGTTTCATCTCATGAGTAAGAATGTCATTCTATCTTCGCCCCATGTTCTTTGGCATGCACACAATAAAGTCAAAGTACACATTGATAATTCCAAGTCAACATTGATAATTTTATAAATGAAATATTGGAGAACGTAATTCCATAAGTTATCATGAAGTATATATGTACCTTTCGGCAACTATATACGCCTTGTTTCATCTCATGAGTAAGAATGTCATTCTATCTTCGCCCCATATTCTTTGGCATGCACACAATAAAGTCAAAGTATACATTGATAATTCCAAGTTAACATTGATAATTTTATAAATGAAATATTGGAGAACGTAATTCCATAAGTTATCATGAAGTATATATGTACCTCAAGCATGTGGAACAGTCTAATAGTTGATGGGAGTGATGAACTATCAACAAATTTGCAGTAACAAAACTACTTTCATATACATACATGAAGTAAACATCTGCACATTAAATACCAAGATGTTGGCGAGAGTTGACTTGCATTGCACACCAAGATTATGATTTAATTTATTTCTTGCATTGCACACCAAGATTCCCGTATTGAATTAATTTATTTCCTTTTTATTTATCATTTTCTACTGTAAATAGAATTAGGAGTTATAGCTTGACTTGGCCTCCAAGGCTTGATTGTACTATATATATATATATGGCCTCATACAAGGAGAAGAATACATATAAAATTCCAACAATTATTTTCTCATATTTTAGCAAAAGCGAACCTGATAGTGTCCACAAACCTCCTTACCATCCCAAGTAAGTTCCTTGTCTCCCTTCCTCCGTCAAACTACGTGTTGGAATTCACCAATCAATTAAAGCAAGAATAAACAAACAAACAAACAAACAAACAAAAAAATCCCATGAGAACCTCTAATTTAAAAATCATCAAAATTTACCAAATTATAACATCCAAATGCTCGAGGAGGCAAAACTAGCAAATGGGTATATAGAAAAGCAACGATTAGTCAGTGTTCATGCGAGTTACTTGACACTAAACTCAGCTCACTAGAAGCCAATAATATAAAGGAACCCAAAGCGAATTCAACGTGCAGTACCAATACCACATCAGATTCCAGGGAACAGCAAACACGCCACTGCTTTGAGAAGAAAACAACATTCTTGAGAAGAAGGGCATAACCACCCAACTTCCTCCAGTCATTTAACCAAGCATTCAAAATCCATCTCTGCTCGACTATGTCCACAGTACCCAAACTCTGAGAAATTCCAACGAGATACATGGCTTCTCTCCTCCATAACAGAATCCCCAACCTATATAGGTCCTTGAGTGTTACACAGAGGTTTTGGTGATATCTATGGCACTGTTATTACAGTAGATAAGAAAGGAAGGCTGGTGAAGGATATAATCATCCAACATTTGTTTCATTCATAGAACTTGTGTGCAACAACTTTCAGTTGCCACATATTCTGCCCCTGCAATGGACAAAGAAAAAAAAATTTACTTTTACTATATATGCCAAGCAACAAGATTGTTGCCAACATAGAAAGCTCCCCTTGAAGTACTTTTCCTATCGTCACTAAACTCTATCTAATCTGCATCACTAAACCCAACCAAGTCAACATTAGTGTCATTGGTATACCACAAACCAAAGTTTGTCGTTCCACTCACATACTTAATAATTCTTTTGACTGCAAGCAAGTGAGACTCTTTTGGATCACTTCAAAATCAAGCACAAACACCTACACTAAAGTCTATGTCAAGTCGACTAGAAGTAAGATATAGCATATTTCCAATCATATTTTTATAGAGTGTTTGATCAACACTCTTGCCACTTTTTAGTACTTATGCTCATTAGAGTTCTAGCAGCTTTTTCGGACTCCAAGACAAACTTCTTGTCCAAAATTTTGGCATATTTTGAATGAGATACAAAGATCCCATCATACCCTTGTTTAATTTAAAGTCCTAAGAAGTAACTGGTTTCACCAACAAGACTCAGTTTAAACTCACTTGTCATGACTTGTACGAGCTCTTGCACATGAGAATCTGAGGTTGAACCAACCACTATTTCATCCACTTAGACTTTTCACAAACAATGTTTTATCAACCGAGCCTCTAATGATCGGTGCATATTTATATATCATTTTGTACCCTTCTAACTTATGATTTGATTATGTTTTTAAGTTAAACTTGTGCTTTTAATAAATTTTGTGTTTGTTTCAGTGTAATAAGCTTGAGACTCATTAAATGCATTTTGGAGACAAGTTAGCACATTTGTGTCTGCAAATCTGTCAACTTCACGGATTGGACTGCACTTGCTCAGGATGAACTAGATGATGAGCCCTATATCATTGGAAAGATGCAGAAGTCTAGTTTCTGGAGCATTTTACAGTTCATGATTCCGAGTCTCCTAGAGGAAGTTATGCAAGTTTTGGCAGCTTAAGGTCAAATTCGGCAGCATCTGCGTTACTCGGCCAAAAATGACATTTGAAGGTATTTCCGATTTTTTCTTGAGTTGGGCTGCATATGCTTGGAAAGATAATTCAAAGGGTTTGAAGATCCAGATTTTTCCATATTTTTTAGGAGGGAAGATCAAGCCCAAAACAAGCCCACAAGCTGACTGCAATGAAGTCAATTCCAGTCTATTTTCGGCAGTCAACTTGCAAGGCCCAAAACGTACACTTGTACTGCTCAGATGGGAATACATTCTTCATAAATGTTGTTCCAATGGGTGTGTATTATGACATATCCAAATTTGAGCCTCATTGGATACATATTGAAACCTCAGTACTTCCTACACCAAGCCTGGTTCAGAAGAATCTTTTTTTTCAGCAACCAAAAGAAAACCCACATGGGTTGGCAGCAAAAGGCAGCACTACTACAAAAAGGGCAAAAGACGACCAGTAAACAACGACGGTAGATCAAAAAACCGTCGTTGTTTTTTAAAAGACGACGGTAATAGAAACCCGTCGTAGAAACATACTTTAAACACCTAAAAAACGGCACACGTATAGATATTTTGAAACCACGACGCACCAAATTAAAAAAGCATCGTCTTATTACAAAGGTATTTTCAGAGTTAAAATCTGAACCTAAAAACAACGACTGCATCTATGAAATCACCGCCGTAGAAAGTAAAGAC